ATTCCCATTTGTGTATGTATAGGGGAAATATCTCTCCAGAGGTAAAATGAGAAGTTTATATATATCGGATGGTAGGTGGGGTGCTGGGTATGTGTCCTGGCCAAAATCTTCAAATGAGAAAGTAGGCCTTAAAAGGTTGTCACAACCCGAGATAGGCCTCAGAAAGTTTCAGACTTGGTATGCGGCCTATATTTCTAGGGGTGGTGAGATCAGATTTTAAATTTCTCATTGCCTCAAGCAACCATTCAGAACTAGGAAGTTTAAAAGCTGGAATTAACTGAATTTATAAGCCATATGAAGTGTTTCTTTTCTGTATCAGATGGAAAATCAGGGTCTCCCAAGATCAGAGTCATGGGGGGAAGGATGATGAGAGATTGTAGACCTGTGGAAAGTCTGATTGATGATTCTAAGGGTGGGCCCTATGGTTGGGTGTGTTTAAAGGATTTTGAGTGACATTAAGAAAGCCAAGGGAGACAAGACATTTCACCTATACTAGCTTCCTTGTAGAAGAAAGATGCACACTCTGGTCATGTGATCAGATCTGCCAAATAGCAACGACTTCAGGGGAAAGGAAGGACCGCCTACAATACATAGCCCATAGCAAGCCTATGTGTAACGACACTGCTCAGGCATTCTAGCCATTGTCTGAGAGCTCTCTCCTCTCCCCTGTAAGCAGGTGCTGGTTGACACAGGAGTCATGTGACCGGACCGACCTCAGAATAAGTAAGCACAGTGGGTATAGAAAAGAATCACCGCCCCTTTAAAATAATCACATTTAGTTGCTTTGCAACCTGAAATGAAGACAGACACAGTTTTTTGTTTTATTCAGCTGTATTTACTCAGCAACATATAACATCCAAGTGAAATATATAAAACCAACATATCAGGAAAAAATAAAAAAATTCAAAAACAGAATCCCTGAGCTGGAAAGAGGACCACCCCCTTGTGTTAGTATTTTGTTGAACTGCCTTTTACTTTAATTCCAGCCTTTAGTCTGTTGGGATGTCTCTACTTACTTTGCACAGCTAGACTTTGCAATATTGGCCCGCTCTTTGCAGAACTGCTCAAGTTTAGTTAAATCTGATGGTGACTGTATGTGGACTGCAGTCTTCAAGTCATTCCACAGATTTTCAATTGGGATTGAGTCTGGGCTCTGACTAGGCCATACAAGGACATTCACCTTTTTCTCCTCCAACCACTGTGTGCTCAATGTTGCTATGTGCTTTGGGTCATTATCACGTTGGAAGGTAAACCTTCCCATTGACAACTTTCTGGCAGAGGGTGGCAGATTTTCCTCAAGAATTTAACAGTATTATTTGACCCATCCATTTTTCCTTCTATCCAGTCCCTATTGTAGAGACCCCCCCCCTCGCCTCTATAACAGGATATTACCACCTCCATGTTTTACTGTTGGAATGGTGTTATTTGGATGGTGAGTTGTATTGGATTTCTGTCAGACATATCATTTACTGTTGAGGCCAAAACATTCAATTTTAGTCTCATCTGACCAGAACACCTCTTTCCATGTGGCCTCAGAATCCTCAAGGTGTGTTCTGGCAATGCTCAGTGGTGACTGCATGTGGCCTTTCTTGAGGAGCGCCTTTTTCTTTGCAACCCTCCCATACAAGCCACAATTGTGGAGAATTTGTGATATTGGTGTCACTTGACCACAAGGACCACTCTTTGTCATCAATTCCTGCAACTGCTTCAGAGTTACTGTAGGTCTCTTGGTAGCCTCTCTGACCAATTTTCCTCTTGGCTCTTTAATCCAGTTTAGGGCAACGTCCTGATCTAGGAAGGGTCTGTATTGTACCAAATACCTTCCACGTCTTAATAATACACTTCACTGTGCTTCTAGGCATTGATAAAATGTTTGAATTTCTTTTATATCCATCTCCAGACTTGTGCCTGTCCACAACTTTATCCTGAAGATCTTTTGACAGTGCCTTGCCACCCATAGTTGATTGTTTGCTTCAGTTGCACTGCCAGGGACTGAAATGCTCCAGGAAAGCTCTCTTCATTCTGAGCTTATCAAAATGACCACAGCTGATCACAGTTAAAGGTCAGATGGCTTTGTGTGCTTAGCTATACTTGATTGAGTTTACAAGTCATTTTTAGGAGGGGGGTGATCCTTTTCTAACGCAGTAATTCTGTTTTTAATTTTTTTTATTGGTATTTTATCTTTCACTTGGATGCTATAAGTAAATACAGCTGAATAAAACAAAAACTGTCTTAATTTCAGGCTGCAAAGCAACCAAATGTAAATATTTTAAAGGGGGGGAGATTCTTTTCTATATCCACTGTATATGCATCTTTCTTCTACAGAGCATTTAATATAGGTGTTAGAAGGGGATAGGAGCAGTTTTCAGATTAGTTTTTCCCTGGAATTCCACTTTAACCATTTGCCGTCCAGCTGCTGTATATAAACGGCTGGACAGTGGCACTCCAGGACCGGGTTGCCGTTCATAAATGGCACCCGCCATTATGGACTGTGTGCGCTCCCTGGGAGTGCGCAGCACTGCAATCCGATGCCCGCTGTGTCCGGAGGACACAGTGGAACACCGATCGTCGTAAGGGACCTCTGTGCGAGGTCCCGATCATGTGATCACTGATTGGCCAATCAGTGATTACATGCAGACTAGTAAGCAAGATGTCACTTCTGACATCATTGCTTACTACATGTGAAATCTGTGAATGATCACAGAGGTCACATGGTACAAGGCTATTCACAACAGCCCTGAACCATGTGACAAGCTGTGAGCAATCACAGCTTACACAGTAGTTCTCAATGGCTGCAAGAATGCAGCCAGAGAGAAGGAGAAATTATTTATTTTACAGCTTTTATGGGTGTAAAAGCAATCAGTGTAAAAAAAAAAAAAATCTTCATCAACCCCCACAAGTAGTACAGTGTCACCATGGTGACAGTATGTAGAAAAAAACATGAATAATAATATAAAAAATAAAATAAAAATGTAAATTAAAAAAAAAATATATATAATTTTTGGTTATAAACTAATTTGGGTTATTTTTTTTTACTAAAAAGATAACTGAATTAATTTTGGCCAAGATTTATGATGAAATATTATTTATTTGCAAAAAATGTTAAGAAAAAACACTTTTTTCAAAATTTTTGTACTTTTTCATTTATATAGCAAAAAAAAAAAAAACTCCCAGTGGTGAATAAATACCACCAAAATAAAGCTTTATCTGTCTCAAAAAAATGCTAAAAAATGTATATGGGTACAGTGTTGCATGACTGCGCAATTGTCATTTAAAGTGTGATAGCACTGAAAGCTAAAAATTGGCCTGGACAGGACGGGGGTAAAAGTGTCCGGACTGGAAGTGGTTAATATCATAAATTCTCCCATGGTTCCTAATATACAATTGAGGTCAGACAGTGAACAATCACTTCAATTCCAGTTTAAATTGAATCAGGAGCGAATGAGAGAACCTTTCTGGTCAGCTGGAAATTGACATCACTTGGATTTTACAAATCAGGAGCATGGTTAGGGCATCATGAAAAATAACAGCATGGCAATGGAAAGGGGTTCCAACAAACACCAAACCCACATCCACAAATGGCAGGTCTGCCCCACTAACACCCCTCTAAAACAATGTCTAATTCTATTAGGGACTTGTTATTGTGGAAGAACTTTTGGTTCCTTTTAGCCCAACTCAACATAACCTTCCTGGTTCTACTGGCCTTTCTTTATCTAACATGCTTTAGCATGGTGAACATCAGTTGTGTTCCTATGGGCAGCACATACAGTTCCTTTTTCAGAAACTTTCAAATACGTGCTATTTCCTTACAGCAGGAAACTATTGGGTTAGGTTTAGAATTCTCTTCTTTCATTTCTGGGAACTTGGTGCTGGCAGTTTTTTCTCCAGAGCTCCTGTCACTGAGGGTAATACCCTTATTGCAATGCCCTGCAACCCTAACACTAGCCCTTACTGGTAAATTCAGCCCCTTGTTTGTATACTCACCTCTCCTTCGGTGGGATCCTCTGCTCCAGGGGCGGACTGACCATTTGAAACTCGGGCACTGCCCAAGGGCCCGGGGTCAGTAGGGGGCCCCATGAGATGCCCCTGGTACCTTTTTCATAGGCTTTTTTGAGTTTGGGCAAGGACACGGGCCCCATGATCCCCTCTTGCCCGGGGGCCCCATGAGTTGTCAGTCCGCCCCTGCTCTACTCCAATGATGTTGAAGGTCCATTTGTTTTTCTACTTGTGTATGGCCTGCTTAACCATCCTGGGCAAAGGTCCCTGTGATGGAATCTACTGTTTCTGCTGAGGAGCCATTATGCTTCCTCAGCTAATGAAATCAACGTAACACTGATCAACCATAAATGGATCCTTTGGTCGAAAGACTAGGTGCAATAAAAGGCAGAATGTCTAGTCCTTGCTGTATTTCTATAATGTATGCATGTTGTCAATTATAGTTATTACATATGTCTATGTTTTATTGACTGCAATCTTTCCTATCTTCCTAGCCTTCACCCCCAGGTAATGTAAAGAGCTCGGCAGATAACACAAGCTTTTATATAATAATCCTGAGAGATAAAAGAATGATGAAGCTGAAGATGTTTGACAACAGAAACTTAAGTCTTCTTCAGCTGACCAGGTAAAAAACGAACCACCTTGATAAGACACTTTCATGTATGCGGTGCTTTCATACAGCACGCAATTTATGAGTTAGGTTCAGAGTTCTCCTGTTTCAGTCCTGGAAACCAGGGCCAGAACTAGGGGTTTCTGGGGTGGGCTGTGCTCCCCCAAGATTTTGTGCCTCCTTAGGTCTCTGAGAGTGCATGAGGCAGTCTGATGCAGACAGTTGAAGTAAGGAGGAACTCTGATTGGGAAAATCCATGTAAGGGGGAAACTCTGATAGGGACATCTGATGTAAAGGGGCACTCTGATGGGGGTAACTGCTCATATGCAAGGGGACACTTTCATGGAGACCCCTGATGTAAGTGATGTAAGGGGGTACTCTGATGGGGACCCTGATATAAGGGGGCACTCTGATGGGGGCACCTGATGTAAGGGAGCACTCTGATGGGGACCCTGATGAAAGGGAGCACTCTGATGGGGACCCTGATTTAAGGGGGCACTCTCATGAGGATACCTGATGTAAGGGGACAGTTTGATGGGGACATCTGATGTAAGGGGGCATTCTGATGGGTGCACCTGATGTAAGGGGGCACTCTGATGGGGATACCTGATGTAAAGGGGCACTCTGATGGGGGTAACTGCTCATATGTAAGGGGACACTTTTATTGAGACACCTGATGTAAGTGATGAAAGGGGTACTCTGATGGGGACCTGATATAAGGGGGCACTCTGATGGGGGCACCTGATGTAAGAGAGCACTCTGATGGGGACCCTGATGAAAGGGAGTACTCTGATGGGGACCCTGATTTAAGGGGGCACTCTCATGACGATACCTGATGTAAGGGGACAGTTTGATGGGGACGTTTGATGTAAGGGGGCATTCTGATGGGTGCACCTGATGTAAGGGGGCACTCTGATGGGAATACCTGATGTAAAGGGGCACTCTGATGGGGGTACATCTGATGTAAGGGGGCACTCTGGTTGGGAAACCTGATGTAAGGGGGCACTTTGATGAGGACATCTGATGTAAGGTGGCACTCGGATGGGGGCACCTGATGTAAGGGGGCACTCTGACGGGGGAACCTGATGTAAGGGGTCAATGTGATGGGGATCCTGATGTATGAGAGCACTCTGATGGGGACCCTGATGAAAGGGAGTACTCTGATGGGGACCCTGATTTAAGGGGGCACTCTCATGACGATACCTGATGTAAGGGGACAGTTTGATGGGGACGTTTGATGTAAGGGGGCATTCTGATGGGTGCACCTGATGTAAGGGGGCACTCTGATGGGAATACCTGATGTAAAGGGGCACTCTGATGGGGACATCTGATGTAAGGGGGCACTCTGGTTGGGAAACCTGATGTAAGGGGGCACTTTGATGAGGACATCTGATGTAAGGTGGCACTCGGATGGGGGCACCTGATGTAAGGGGGCACTCTGACGGGGGAACCTGATGTAAGGGGTCAATGTGATGGGGATCCTGATGTATGAGGGTACTTTGACAGGGACCCTGATGTAAGGGGGTACTCTGATGGAGACACCTGATGTTAAGGGGGACTGTGATAGGGACATCTGATATAAGGGGGCAAAGGTTCTGTTTAATTTTCCTTGCCTCATGATAGCCTAAAAATAGTGTTTTCTAGGTCATGACACAGTGACAGACTGTCAGTGACTCACACACAGTGTTGACATTCTGCCCCGTCTTTTTTTTTTACTGCACTCCCAGATCAGATAGGCTAGATCCAGTCCTGTTGGAAACTTGGTGCTTGTCATTTTTGCCATGGAGCGACCAACACTGAGGTTAGAACCCTACTGACACTATCTTGCAACCTTAACACTAACCCTTACTAATGTAACTGTAACCCTTTTTGCATACGCACCTATATTTTGCCATGATCCTCTCCTCTGATGACAAATCTTCCCGTGACAGGGTCCCTGAGGATGAAGTCTACTGTTTCAGTTGAGGTGTCAATATTTTACCTCGGCGAATGCTCATTATAATTAACTAAGGTCATCACTGTCGCACCAGTCAAGCATTCAAAAAGGATCCAGATGTAATAAAAGATAGGCAGAAGTCTTGACTTTGCTTTATTTTTATAATGTATGCAAGTGTTGTTAATAAGTATAGTTATCATCTATGTCTGTGTGTTTTATTGACCGCAAACATCTCATAGTGTGTTTGCAGGTTTAATTCCCTTGATATTTTTTACACTAGCACGGTTTTCTTCTTTACAAATAATTGACACGCATGGTGCAAAAATAGGCAGAAAACATTTTTGTTATAATGTATGTAAGTGTTGTTAGTTATCACCTATGTCTGTGTGTTTTATTGACCGCGATCTTTGCCTATCTCCTGAGCCTTTACCCCCAGGTAATGTATATTGCTCGGCAGATAGCACAAGCCTTTATAAATTAATCCTGGGAGATAAAAGAATGACGAAGTTGAGGATGTTTGACAGCAGGAACTTTCATACAGTGCATCCAGAAAGTAGTCATAGCACTTAACTTTTGCCACATTTTGCACTTAACTTTTGCCACATTTTTTATATTACAACCTTATTCCAAAATGGATTACATAAATTTTTTTCTCAACATTCTAGAAACCCCATAATGACAACATGAAAGAAGTTTGTTTTGAAATTTTAAGTTAATAAAAATAAAACACAAAAAAAAAACACATGTACATAAGTATTCACAGCCTTTGCTCAATTCTTTGTTGAAGCCCCTTTAGCACCAATTACAGCCTCAAGTTGTTTTGAGTATGATGCTACAAGCTTGGCACACCTATTTTTGGGCAATTTCTCCCATTCTTCTTTGCAGTACCTCTCAAGCTCCATCAGGTTGGATGGGGAGCGTTGGTGCACAGCCATTTTCAGATCTCTCCAGAAAGGTTCAAGTCTGGGCTGTAGCTGGGCCACTCCAGGACATTCACAGAGTTGGCCCGTAGCCACTCCTTTGTTATGTGGGCTGTGTGCTTAGGGTCGATGTCCTATAAGATAAACCGTCGCCCCAGTCTAAGGTCCAGAGTGCTCTGTAATAAGGTTTTCATCAAGGATGTCTCTGTACATTGCTGCGTTCATCTTTCCTTTGATCCTGACTAGTTTCCCAGTTCCTGCCGCTGAAAAACATCCCCACAGCATGATGGTGCCAACATCATGCTTCACTGTAGGGATGGTATTGGCCAGGTGGTGAGCAGTGCCTGGTTTACTCCAGACATGACACTTGGCATTCAGACCAAAGAGTTCAATATTTGTTTCATCAGACCAGAGAGTTTTGTTTCTCATGGTCTGAGAGTTCCTCAGGTGCCTTTTGGCAAACTCCAGGTGGGCTGCCATTTGCCTTTTACTGAGGAGTGGATTCCGTCTGGCCACTCTACCATACAAGCCTGATTGGTGGAGTGCTGCAGAGATGGTTGTTCTTCTGGAAGGTTCTCCTCTCTCCACAGAGAAGCGCAGAAACGCTGGAGCTCTTTCAGAGTGACCATCGGGTGCTTGGTTACCTCCCTGGCTAAGGCCCTTCTCCCTCGATCACTCATTTTGGCTGGGCGGCCAACTCTAGGAAGATTCCTGGTGGTTACAAACTTCTTCCATTTACGGATGATGGAGACCACTGCGCTCATTGGGACCTTCTACGCTGCAGAAATTTTTCTGTACCCTTCCCCAGATCTGTGCTTTGACAATCTTCTCTCGGAGGTCTACGGACAATTCCTTGGACTTCATGGCTTGGTTTGTGCTCTAACATGCATGGTAACTGTGGGACCTTATATAGACAGGTTTATGCCTTTCCTAATCATGTCCAATCAACGGAATTTCCCACAGGTGGACTCCAATCAAGCTGTGGAAACATCTCAAGGATGATCAGTGGGAACCGGATGAACCAGAGCTCAATTTTGAGTGTCATGGCAAAGGCTGTGAATACTTATGTACATGTGTTTTTTTTTCGTTTTTTATTTTTAATAAATTACAAAGATTTCCAAACAAACTTCTCTCATGTTATCATTATGGGGTATTTTTGTAGAATGTTGAAGAAAAAAATGAATTGAATCCATTTTGAAATAAGGCTGTAACATGTGACAAATGTTGTCAAAATGTGACAAAAGTTAAGCGCTGTGATTACTTTCTGGATGCTCTGTATATGTGGTGCTTCATACATTAAGAAATTTATGACTTAGGTTTAGAGTTTTCTTCCTTCATTTCTCGGAATCTGGTGCTTGTAGATTTTGTCATGGAGCAACCAACACTGAGGGTAATACCCTATTCACACTACATTCCGACCTTAACACTAATAGCTGGCCATAGATTACTTGTTTTATTTTGATCAGCCAGCATGCTGAATGACAAAAACCAAATAGATTCCTCAATCCACCCAAGAGAGGTGGATGGAGGAATCCCTGCTGGGACTTTGTATTTTGACAGCGGGACCCTCTGTTGTCAGAATACATGGACATACATGACTTGGAAGACGTCTAGTGTGACAAAACATGCGGGGCGGAGTCACATGCTGACGTCATCTCGCAACTTGAAGTGACCTGTAAGCTGTCTGTGTGCCAGTCAGAGTTGTTTTTTTTTTCAATGTGCAATTACCTAGTGATGCTTGTAAGTGCTATATACATATAAATAAAAGGTATTGTGAGGTTTGACACTATATGGACCATCTGCTCTTGTTATCTTTCTGAGTATATGTGGCTGATCTATGTGGGGGTTTATGCATAACCAGGCTACTTGCAGACTTTGAGAAGGAGCAGAGAGAGTCGCAGAAGACACAGAGTACCACAATACATGCTATTTATGATGTCTCTAATATTAGGGGTCACATTTGGCTGGTAAGCCATCATCTTTGACCACCTGGTGGAGGTTTATGGTCTGTCGTGACACCCTTTTCAGGAATCTTTGGTGGAACATTTCCTTATATTTACACATTGCGTGGACTTTCATAATATAATCTTTTGGACATTTTGGTTTTTACTTTTGATATTTGTTTAATTGTTTTAGTTTATTGATTAGCGCAACATGTTTTTCTTATATAGTTTGTAACTATGGAAAACATCTCATAGTGTGTTTGCAGATTTAATTCCCTTGATATTTTTCACACTAGCGTGGCTTTCTCTTTACCAAAAATTGACATGCATGGTGCAAAAATAGGCAGAAATTTTTTTTTCTATAATGTATGTAAGTGTTGTTAGTTATCGCCTATGTCTGTGTGTTTTATTGACCGCGATCTTTGCCTATCTCCTGAGCCTTCTCCCACAGGTAATGTAAAGTACTCGGCAGATAGCACAAGCCTTTATATAATAATCCTGAGAGATAAAAGAATGACTAATATGAGGATGTTTGACAACAGAAACTTGACCCTTCTCCAGCTTACTGGGAAAATGAGAAAAGAACCGCCTTGATAAGAGAAAACACAGAGCCAGGGACTTCCCAAGAACTGAATGGGCGAAGGTCACTCAGCTGTTTCCAGCAAGTTCATTAACTTCTTGATAGTGTTTTGGCTTTAGTGTGTTAGACATTCACAGTTGCAATATACAAAGCACTTTCAGGGAACAGATTATATCAGCACAGAAAGACCAGCCCCACACTGTGCAATATTTGCAAAGAAACCAATTAAAATGCTAATTAAGATATTAAATTTTAGGCTATTAACTGCTTCCCGACCGCCCTATAGCAGAACTACAGCTACAGGGAGGCAGGGCTGTGCAAAATCATGTGTGTGTATATATATATATATATATATATATATATATATATACGTGATTTTGCATTCCCAGGTAGGGGGTGCACGTACGCACGTGTGCCGCCCTACCTGCACTGCCATTGGCAGCTACAGATGTTGATCACACCCAGCCAGCACCCAGCGATTGCTGAGTATCACTAACAGTATAACTAACTCACCAGTGATTTTTTTTTCACCCTTAACAGTAAGTTTTAGCAAAGCCTAACAAGCTCAGTTACTCTAAAGATTATCCTGGCCCCTTGCTAAGCCTCCTGTTGGGCTGTTGGGGATTGGCCAGGGTCCTCTAAGAGTACAGACCAGCCACTCCTCAAATCCGCCCACTGATTCTAGACCTTTTGCCAAAGTTCTAGAGCAGGGGGAAAATTCAGAGGGCAAATCTGCAGAGTCTTTCAGCTCTGACCCAAATTAGACCCTGCTAGCTATCACACCCAGGTTGCCACTCAGCCCTCCTAGCTGACAATTGACTAGAGCTCCCCCTGGCTAACTAGGAGGGTGATACACATATATATACCATTTATTCAACTGTCCTTCTGCCTTTTACATGGCAACCCTTCATCCTTCCTCTTCTCCTCCAGTCCCAGGCAGTCCTTTATAGCTGCAGAGAACAGCACTCCCATTATGACATCAACACCTTTCTTAATAGCACCGTACTTCATCTCAGGTTGATGATGCAACTTTCAGAGGGTGGGTCCATGACAGCCTGGGCTCAAAGGAAATGG